TGAATTGAAATGTAAGATAGTACATAGCCATAGAGAACGAAAATGTAAAACTTTTTGTGTGTCAGTTTCCATAGAAATAATGTGTGTTCTGTGGAGTCCCTGTTTTTTTTTTTTTTTGAATGGTATTCATTACAGATCATGTGAGAGTGAAAATTGTTCATATGAAATCTTTGTTTCTACTACGTGAAGCAAGTTTATTTGAAAACATCACATGTGGTTATGGAATTAAAGCTTGTGCAGGATCAGAGGAGCACCAAACTGTGGGTGAAGGGTGAAGACTGTGTAAGGAGCATGAACATAGGAAGGAGATAGCTCAAAGAAGAATCTTTGTAGAATCAATGCCATTGCCATCTTTGCCTCCGACATGGCAAAATTCTGGCCGATGCATATCCTCGGTCCCCACGAAAATGACAAGAAGGAGACTTGGTTCTTTGTTGCCTTTAAGATACCGTCTTTGAACCTCTCGGGCTTGAATTCTGCTGCATCGTTTCCCCACAGTTCGGTGTCGTGTTGGACTAGCAGAATAGGTAGAGTGATGTGAATGCCGCCTGGTAGCGTCATGTCGCCTAGCTTCGTCTCTTTGTAAATGGCTCGGGTCATCTGGGRTACWGGAGGATARAGCCMAAGGACCTCATTCAATATCATCGTCATCTGTTGGAAACATTCAGTCATCATAACACACAAAAGTACTGAAGTCACCTGAAGATCTTTGATTTGGTTTTACTTACAACTTTGAGCTGGTTAAGTCCTTCTGTATCGGGTTCTTTGTCGCCAAAAACTTGCTTCACTTCTTCTCGCGCACGAGCCTGCCAGTCTTGGTGTTGGCCTAACAGAACCATTGTCCAAACAAGAAGTACTGAAGTAGTCTCTTGCCCGGCGAAATAGAACAACTTGCACTCCTCCATTACATCCTCGATGCTCATTCCGTTTCCTTTACCTTGCCCCACATTTGATTCAAGAAGTGTACCCAGCAAATCGTCGCTCGGTGCTTCCCCAGCTTCTCTCGCCGTTAACCTCTTGTTAATGATCCCTCTCAGTATAACTTGGATTTCTCTACCTGCTGCTTTCATCCTTCTATTACCCTTCGTTGGGAGATACCTACGCAAACAAAAGAACAAAGAATATGGCGCAACATGATTCATGTTAGATTGCAGTACTAAAAGACGAAGAGTCAAACCAGGCTAGTTTGAGGGTTTAATTACCCATATCCAGGGATGAAAACTCTTCGTAAAGCTTGTGTGAGGAGCTGTGCTATTTCTGCTTGAAGCTTGAATATCCTCTGCCCTTCTTTGTAGCTGCTGCCAAAAGCAGTACGAGAGATTACATCTGCAGTCATACTCACAAGCCAAGGCCAAACATCGACCTCACAGGACGACCCTTTATCCGATACTATCTTGTCCCATTTGCCAACAACCTCGCTGCAGCTCTGGTGGAATGCAGGTACCATATTCTATACATAAGGCACAAGTTGGGTCAGGTCCAAATGAACATACATACATAAAGCAAGCTAAGGGACTAGGAAACATAAAGCCTAAACCTTGATCTTCTCAAGATGGAAAGCTGGGTTGATGATTCTACGGTGTTTTGCCCATTTATCACCATCATAACTGAAGAGTCCAGTGGCTATCAATCTGCCCAAAGGGAATGTATGGGGCTTCTGGAAATCATAGATTTTGTTCAACACTTCTTTGATTAGCTCAGGATCCATTATGGTGATGGTTGGTATTTGTCCAAGCCATGTAAAGAAAGTCCTTCCTGCAGTTCCAACCACAGAGAGATACAAAAGTTGAAACCTTTTTCCAGATCAGGTAACCTGCAACAACTTCGTTTAAACTGTAAACAGAGAGGAATCGAGAAGGCATACCGTGAGTCTTGAGCATTTGCAAGGGATAAGGCACGACTCGTGATGTAATATCATCTGTTAGTTTGATTGGTTTGGATCTTGCCTCTGTCAACATGCTGAAATTTATCTTCACATCCCCGACAAGAAGCGTGTAAGGAGTTCCGGCAAGACCTTGTCTTCTCAGGTAACTCTCAAGCATCTTAGGTTCAAACCAAACCCACTTCAGAGTTCTCCATACCCACCACGACACAACAGCTATAGCTACTGAAACTGCTACCGACGCAGCTGATATTTCCATTTTTTTTTTTTTTCCTGAGAAAAGAAAGAGAGATGAATAACTTGCTGACATGACATTCTCTGAATATATAGATAGAATTAATAGAAGAGACTAGGTAAAAGTTTTATGTGTCATTATAAAAAGATTTTAAAAGATTTTTAATAAAAATTAGTAAAACTCACATCCTCTATAGTCAATTAAACAAAATAATAGGATAATCCAATTAGCCACCTAATAAATTTATTTTTTTTTAATTAAAAATCACGGTCATACTTAATTTCATATTTAGCATTAATAATTCTTTATATCCTCTTTATATTAATAGAGGAGACACTAGATGAAAAACATAGATGTCAAAGAGTTCTTAAGGAAAGCTATTAAAAGTTCTTAATGACATGAACTATTATGCAAATAATTAGAAGAATCCAACTGTATATTTGAGCTCAATTATTCACTAAATTCATATCATATATACAATATATAATCATTAAATGAATATGTAAGCAATGAATATGTGGTAATTAATATGGAAGAATTTATGTGAGAATATCTTTTTTTTTCAATAAGACTAACTACTAGATTTTTTTACCCGCGTCAAAACGGAATTAAAATATTCAAAAACAAAAATTCATTCTTTTTTAATATACGGGAGAAAGTAAAAAAGAACTAAGATCAAATGGTATATATATCTCTCATGTTTTATCATACAAAAATTAATTTGCATAACAATTAGATTAGTAGATAATTTTTTGAGAAATGCCACTTTTAAAAAAGGTCATCATTTAGAATTTTTTTTAAAAGTGTCATTAATCCTCTATATATTAAATTGAGTTGATATTTGATGAAAAAATCATATGTCTTATTCAATGAGGTTTTTTTAAAGAACATGTCATTTAAATTAACCAATGAAAATATTTCTACTAAAACTACTATATGCCATGGTGGAAATCTACATGTTTTTATTAATTTTATAAAATAAATCCATTAATACATGTTTTACATATTTAAGTTTAACTAAATGTAATATTTAGATTTACCATATCATCTTTAGAAAAAATAGATATATTAAAAAACTTTTTATTATTATATATGTAACAATATTATTTATTTGTAGATGATAATTATATTTACAAATATTTTTACATTTTATTATTGAAAACCATATATATATATATATATTTTTTTTTTTTGTTATGTGACAAATTCGTGTGATAAATACTTTATGGTTTGCGTTTTGGACAATCATTTTTGTTGTGTCCGTTGATCTTTGACTTGGGAGCCACACAGTGACATGTCACCAAGGCACAAGAAGCAAATTTGGATTTGTGTGAAAAACCATAACTTTTGTAGGATGAATTAATGCATGAAAGTCAATCTTTTTGACATTTCTTTGTCACTACATACCAAAAAACAGAAAAAAAAGGTCCACAAACCATTTCTTTAAGGCCTATGGTGCTTGTGACTATGTACTAAAATAATATGAAAACCAGTTAGGACTTGTCCACAGATTTTTTAGTCCAACTATAGATTGAAATTTTTGCTTACAATAAATTCATTACTTGTTTATCATAACGATGTTTAGTCAAGATTTAATCGGAAACAAACAAAAAATGAATTAAAATGATTATTGGTGGGGTGAATTTTCATTCTTTTAAACGTCAACGATACGTGGACAACAAGTTCGAAACAGGGTTCTTACTAGTAGACCTTCAAGCAAATTCATCTAATGGCACTTGTCTCGCTTGATGGAGTATAAGATGAGCTCCAAACTATGGGTAAATGCTATTGCCATCTTTGACTGGTATCGTTTCCTTTTACACAACTGACAAGTTGATTTCTGACATAAACAGATAAAAAGATTTGAGTTTTGTAAAATGATTAGGACTCGTTTCATCTGCCTAGGACAAGTTTACTTGGCAATACCCCTTGAGGTTCTTGAATTAAAGCTTGTGCAGGATAAGAGGAGCACCGAACTGTGGGTGAATGGTGAACACTGGGTAAGGAGCATGAACATAGGAAGGAGATAGCTCGAAGGAGAATCTCTGTAGAATCAATGCCATTGCCATCTTTGCCTCCAGCAAAATTCTGACCAATGCATATCCTTGGTCCCCACGCGAACGGAAAGAAGGAGACTTGGCCCTTTGTTGCCTTTGAGAGACTGTCTTTGAATCTCTCAGGATTGAACTCCGCTGCATCGTTGCCCCATAGGTCAGTGTCACGTTGGACTAGCAGAATAGGTAGATTGACCTGAACTCCGCCCGGTAATGTCAGATTTCCTAGCGTCATCTCTTTGTGAACGGCTCGCCTCAGCTGAGTTACGGGAGGATACAGCCTAAGGACCTCATATAATATCATCGTCATCTGTGCGGGACAACAATGATCATTAATACACAATAAAAGTAATGAAGTCACCTAAAAACTTGCCTAAAAGGTCAAAACTTTAGATCATTGGAAGAAGACAGAGGCATGAGGTGAAGCTTTGGGAAAAGACAAGATTTGTGATTTAGCTTTCTCTGTGATTCGGTCGCGCAATGAAAGGACGACTAATTCAAGAACCTCGGCGTTTTCCATCACATAGCTCAACACTGATAGTTGAAGCTCCTGCGTATTGAAATCCCTGATTTGCAGGACTTTGAGCATTGTTCTAACGCAGTCCGGTGCTGTTCCTTAAGGAAATTCATTAAAGATCTCTGAAGGAGGTGTTGAACGAGAAGGCGTCAGGTCCTGGTGGGTTTCACCAGCCAAAAGCAAAATCAAAACAATAGAAACGATAAGAAAGTCACAACATTTCGATATAATTACTACTTATATGGACTTACATTCGATATAATTAGTACTTACGTGGATGCTAAGCACCTCGAGTATAGGTGTGGATTTGAGGAAGTTCCTGAATATGTAATCTTGTGTCGTGTAGTATCTCAAATGCAGGTAAACCAATGGTTTGAATATGGGCACTTTGGTCACTTCACAATCCTTGCTAAGCTATAAGAAAGAGACCGCGATAATAATTTAGTGGGAAGATGCTCCATCGAAAAGGTTTGAACAAATTCAGTGGGAAGATGAAATGTAACTAACCTCGAGAGCCAAACTGTGGAAAAGACGGAAGAATCGTTTGGGAACGGTCTTGCGAGAATATGATTCTCTCAAGCTTTGAAGCTAATACCCTGACCGTACACACTCCATAATCAGTCGGTACATATTCAGAGCTACACTTAACATCTCAAAAGATCTTATGCAAAGGAGAATCTATAATTATGGTATCGGTTCCAAAGAAGTAGCAACAAGAGGCTTCGAAAGTTTCCAAGGCATAGAAGTATAAGCAATGTAGTAGTTTAACAATAATATCTTGAAATTTAAGGCAAAACACCAAATCAATGAACTTATTCATTCGAGTGTGTATCATGAAAGGCAAACCAAAAGAGACGACAATTCCGATTAGAGAACAATATAAGGACTCTTCGATTTGGCGTGAACTTCCCTCATTCTCTCCACAGTTCTATCCGAAATCTCCATCTGTTTGGACTTATCTTCGTGTTTCTTCTTCCCATGGAAACTGTGAGACAATGCTCGAAACGTTTCTTTAGGATTCAATCCCAGTATCCTGAAATCTTTCATCATCAAGATTACATGTAACACTACTACTTGCAAGCTTACTTTTCCCCCTCCTCTTGAAAGTTCCTTGCTCTCTGAGAATTTTTAATCCTGTTCCGACATCAACCTCACGCGTAGCTCCATCTCGAACACTAGAATGATCATCATCAATGATCTTGAGCTTTGGAACTAACCCTTTGAAACACATCTCTTTGTCTATCTGATGATTCAAACATCTCTTTCTCCTCTCTCGAAGAACCAAGATCCTGATCAGCAAATTCTTAATCCCTTATGAGATATATATATAGAAACAGAATTATAGATACAAGAGATAATCTAAATTCTATTGACAGTAACGAAATTAGAATCCTAGGAAGAGAAGGGAAATTATCTTCAATACCTTATGATGTATCGAGAACAGAAGATCACAGAGAACCCAATCTCCAGAAGATTCCATTTTAATCACGTAAATTAGCCGACAATTGGATTGACCAAGAACCCTAATTAATAAACACCAAATTAGAAGAACTTTTTCTAATTTGGAAAAAATTAGAAAATATCCGTTATCCGACCCGACCTGACCTTAACGGATATTTGAAAAACAATATTCTTACCCGATCCGAAAAAACGAATACTCTATACAATGGGTATCCGAAAAAAATTCGTTGAATCGACGAGTACCCGGTCCATTACCTTTATCCGCCCAATTGTAATATAATTTATCTATAATTAAATTTAACCAACTTGTTTATCAAATAAATGGAGGAGTTATTACGAAAAAAAAAAAATTTCTTAATAGACAACATATAGTTCA